TGAGCAGATCCTTCATGATTCCAGTATATCCCTTTAATAGGAAATGTCACGCAATTATTCATGACCACATGGTAAACCACTACCAGAACCTTCTGTCCATACAACATCCTCAGCATTTTAGAGACCAGCTCCTTCAATTCCACATTATGGGTATGGCTGAAATCAATAAGCTTTGTGATTGCTTCTTACCCAATTTGCCTTATCACTTAGTGTATCTCCTAGTAGCTCTCTCCTTCCATGGCACCCAAATCCAGAGAAGTGCAGGGTGCACAACAGGTGGAAAGGCAAACGGCACTGGACAAACCAGCATCCTTGACTTAATGAGATGACCTCTTTGTACGGCTGCAGCATTATCACTTTCCAGCATAGGGGAGACCTACAGGGAAACCACAACGACATTCAACATGGCTTTTGAATTTTCCAGCCACAAAGATCTAACTTGCCAATGACAATTTGTTATCAGATTTGCTGAAGACTCCGATATCTGTAATAGATGAAAACAAATCAATGGACAAATTCAGATATTGCAACCATATAAGGTGGCCCATTGACAAAGGCATATCACAGAAAAAAAAAATTAATAATAACAGTAGTTGAAAAGTTCAGTGATTGTGATCGTGTAACGTGGCCAATTGACGAAAGCTTAGCACTTTTATATGAATTACAAAGGCAACACTGCCAACCACAGCATTATCAACATACCTAAGCATCCATACCTATTAAGTGAATTATTACTTACTTTTTGGTAGATAATGATTTAGAAATTGATGTCAGCTTTCAGTGCTTGTAAACTTTTGCAAAAAGCCTACGTGCAAACTGAATTAACCAATTCTTATATCACTAATACCAAATCAATTTACCAATCAATTCATCGTCATAAACATTTTTTTTTAAATAATTCATCATCATTAACATGTTAATATAATACAGAATTGTTTTAACAGGACATTGAAATAGGAAGCCAAATCAACAAGTGATGAAGTCATTTTGCAATATATAAAACAGTAGCATTTTAGAAAAATATCTGACATCATAGTCATCCTTTGAGATATTAAAAAAGTGGTTTGTTCAGGAAAAAAAGGGAATTTGAAAAACAATCAAGGGCAATAATGACATTAGCATGTTACATGTATTACTATGAAGAGCATTACCAGAATACTAGAAATTTTATGCAATGCTTCTGTCAAGCAAGAAGTCATATCTCCCATCAAACTAATATTGTAGCCTGTATCTCTAAATATACAGCTACAGTGCCTGTTAATCAACATTTCTTCACTGATTTCTTGGATTAACCTTGATCACTTTAACATCTTTTTCCTTGCCGAAGCCAGATATAATTGTGTCATATGTATGTGCATTAGGAACTATACCAACCTCCTCCATCTGGGTATACAAAGAATAAGCTTCTTCCATTCTTCCAGCCTTGATAAGTCCACAGATGACAACTGTATAAGAAACGACATCTAGTGGGTATTTTTTTAAAATGGCTCTCCTGAACAAACAAATGGCTCTTTGACATTTACCAGCTCTTATAAGCCTATCAATGATGATAGTATGGACATGCGCGTCAAGATCAAGATGACTCAAGACCATACCCTGATACACATTAACAGCTTCAGCAATTCTTCCTGCCCCGCATAATCCACTAAGTACACCTACAAAGCTATACTTGTCTGGCATAAAGCCTCTATCAAGCATGTCGTTATATAACTCCACAGCAAAAGATGGTAACCTAGCCTTGCAAAAATAACTTAAAAGTGAGTTACATGCTACAAGGTCTAGATCTATCACAAATCCGCTAACTAAGTCTGGTAAAAGGGAAAACCTTCGGGACAAACAGATGTTAGACAATAAAGAAGAGAAAGTGCAAGAATCTGGCACCAACTTCCATTTCAACAAGCTTACAAAAACATCAAGTGCATCATCAAATCTTCCAATTTTAGACAAACAGTCTATCAAAATGTTACAAAGAACCAAGTCAGGAATATGCCCTTCGGATTCCATGGTGCGTAAAATATTAAAGGCAGTACCGACCATTCCTGAATCCATGAATCCCTTAATCAATATTGTGTATGTTAAAATATTAGGGGAACAACTAATCTCAAGCATCTTGTTCAGTAAAGCTTCTGCCATCCAAGGTTTACCTAATCGACAAAATCCATCAATTAATATGTTCCAAACTTTCACAGAGATAGAAATTCCCAGAGAACTCATCAAAGCCAAAATTTGATATGCCTCTGATCGCCTACCCA